GTAACATAGACTAGACTAGTAACATATGCATGCTACTAGTCTAAATTACTCTCCACTGTGATTACCTTAGTTCCCTGCTCAACAAATCATCGGGCAAGACACATAGCTCTCGTGCCGGTTTTTTTTGAGGGGTAAAAACCTACCTTATTCATCAAACTCCACATGAAGTGGGATATACACTTGGTCATGGGGAACACCATACCAGACATGGCGACACGGACCTCTGGAGAGTGCAAATTTTGCTAAGCGATGTGCTTCATAATTAACAGCACGACTTTCAAAAGAAAAATTACAAGAAAAAGTAGAGGCTTTGATGTTGATCTCGTTGATGACGGCGCCATAAGCCCCGCGTGCCCTTCTGTTGATGTCTAACACGACCTGTCGACAGTCCGATGCCACGATGAAGTGATGAATGCCCAGATCCTCCGCCAGGGCCAAAGCTTCCCTACATGCTATTGCCTCCAGTGTTGGGGGATCATACACTCCTTCAACTACAAGGGCCGAGCTTCCAATGTAGTTGCCCCCTTCATCTCTACAAACAGCCACCTCTGAACCACCTCTCCTCACGCGGACACCCGCATCAACATGGATTTTGTGGTGTCCAGGAGGTGGTTTTTTTGGTTTTGCCTGAACTGGCCGTGGCACCGTGCCATTAATGTTTTGGTTCTGAGCTGTATTTTGTATGATCGCCAGATCTTGCAAGTACCTCTCGATGAAGCCATGGGTTGCTTGAGGGCTCTGGAATATTGCTTCATGGATAGCTTTCCGCCGAGCATGCCATATGGACCAAAGAGTTACAACCATTGTGATAAATTGGTCATGTGTCAGCAATCCCATAAGTGTAAAGAGCCAGCTCTTCACCTTTGGTTTGGTATTAGATGTGATTTTGTATGTGATCTCCTCTTCCGCTAGTGCCCAAGCGCTTCTCGAAGATGTGCATTCAAGGAGAGAGTGCCGCCATGAGTCCTGAACCCCGCATAAACCGCAGGTGCTTGAGTTGGCCATATGACGGTGTGCTCGTACATCATTGGTTGGGAGCGAGTGTTTTGATAATCTCCAGAGGAACATACGAATCTTCCCAGGGACTGATGTTTCCTAGATATACTTCCACTCTCCCTTTTCTGCCCTTGCGTTAGATGGACCAGCTTCTCCGTTTAACCACGCCTCTCTTCTTTGTTTAGTCACCACAAGCATTTTGTAAGCTGATTTAACCGTGAAGGATCCATGCCTTTCATAATGCCAAGACCAGAAATCAGGTCGGTTGCGTGTACAGAGTGGTATTCCAAGGATGATCTCTGCATCCATATGCAAAAAGGTTGCCTGAACTAGTTCTCTGTTCCATGAAGCTGTGGCCACAACGATCAGCTCGGAAACCATTGTAGGTGGGTTCTGAACATGGCAGCCGAGGGGCCGAAGGAACTCCTCCCAAGACAGCCAGTTTTGTTCCCATATATGCGTGGATGCGTTGTTACCTATCCGTTTGACAAGGCCCTGCTTTAGAACATCCCTTCCCTCGATCATAGCTCACCATACTTGGCTCGGGTGGCTGCCCAGCTCCGCATCAAGGATGTCATTCGCTGGATAGTATATGCTTTTTAGAATTCGGGCACATAGAGAATCAGTGTGTTGAAGCAGTCGCCATGCTTACCTGGCGAGCATGGCAAGGTTGAAGAGCTCAAAATCCTTGAAACCCAGACCCCCCATGTCCTTAGGTTGAGTCATGGTCTCCCAGGACACCCAATGAGGCTTCCTTTTGCCCTCTTTACTCCCCCACCAAAACTTTCTGATTAGCATGTTGAGATGTTTGCATAGTCCCCTCGGGAGCTTAAAACATGACATTGAGAACACAGGCACCGCTTGTGCCAGCGATTTAACCAAAACCTCCTTTCCTATCATGGACATTGTGTGCTCTATCCATCCTTGTACCTTACTCCAAAGCCTATCGTTTAGATACTTGAACGCACCATTCTTGGAGCTGCAAATGTCAGAAGGCATTCCCAAATACTTCTCATTAAGAGTTTCATTGGGTACCTGTAAAGTATCTTTTATCTCCTGTCTGATCGTGTCTAGCACACCTTTGCTGAAATAGATAGATGATTTGGCATAGTTAATGCGTTGACCGGTTGCCTGACAATAGGTATTCAGAACATGGTACACCTCATTTGCCTCCGCACTATTTGCCTTGAAGAACAGCAGGCTGTCATCTGTGAATAGGAGATGGTTCACCGGAGGCGCCGTAGGTGCCACCTGTAGACCATTCAGATTGGATGAGTCACTTTTTGATTTGAGGAGGCATGAAAGGCCCTCTGCTGCTATCAAGAACAAACACGGAGAAATTGGATCCCCTTGTCTGATTCCTCTAGATGGTTTAAATTGTTTTAGCTTCTTGCCATTGAACAACACTGAGAATTTGACCCTAGTTACAAGGCTCATCACTATATCAACCCATCGTTCATTGAAGCCCAGCTTCATCATAACTGCCCTCAAATAAGACCATTCAACCCTGTCATACGCTTTCATCATGTCAAGCTTGAGGGCGCAAGATTGGTTCTTCTTAGCCTTATTGCGCTTCATAAAATGCAAACACTCATAGGCTGTAATGATATTGTTTGTGATCATTCTACCAGGCACAAAAGCGGATTGTTCCTCGGATATGATGTCAGGTAGGACTATTTTCAATTTGTTGGCGATCACCTCCGATGCAATTTCATATAGAACATTGCACAAGCTAATTGGACGAAACCGAGACAAGTGTGTAGGGTTTTTCACCTTGGGTATGAGAACCAAAATAGTCTCATTGATGCATTCTGTTGACTCGTTGCCCTCCACAATTTTCAGGACCGCCTTGGTTACATCATCACCGCATGTTTCCCAAATGGTGTTGAAAAAAATGAGCCAGAAATCCATCAGGCCCGGGTGCCTTTGTCGGGAACATTTGAAACAAGGCAGTTTTCACTTCTTTCTGGCTGTACGGAGCGTTTAACATGTCATTCATATCTTGCGTCACTTTGGTCGGTATTGTGTCCAAAACCAGCGCCTTATCTTGGACCCCCTCAGAAGTGTACTGGTGGTGATAAAAGGATGTAGTCAAGCTCTCCATGTCTAGAACATTTTCTGTCGCAGACCCATCCTCTTTTAAAAGTGAATTTATCTGATTTTTTCTCCTCCTTCTACTCGCCCGTAGATGGAAAAAATATGTGTTCTTATCCCCATGCATAAGCCATTCAATACGAGCGCGTTGTCTCCATAGAATTTCCTCTCTGTGAAATAATTCTGTCAATCTCTCTACTGTTTTTAATTCCACGTGACTAGGACCAGATCTTCCTCGAATCTCCCGTAACTCCTGTAGCTGCCGCTGGAGCTGTTGGATCTCGCGCCGTACATTGCCAAAGTGTGCTCTGTCCCATCCGGACAGATCAGATGATAGCGACCGGAGTTTGTCGCTCAAGGAGATCACCGAGTCGCCCGTTCCAGTTGCCCATGCAGATTCCACCAGCGGCGCCAAACCGGGGTCTCTTTCCCAGGCCAACTCATATTGAAAAGAACGCGGGGCCCGCTGGCATGCAGCCTCATGCACGTACTTCACGTGAATTGGGACGTGATCGCTTGTCGCTGCTAGCTTGTGCTCAAGCTTAGCTGTGGGGAAAGCGATGGACCAGGTTGGGTTTGCCACGCCTCTGTCCAGTCTCACTTTAGTATGCGACCCACCTGCCACCTTCCTTTCGAAGATCCAATCCGTGCTCGTGTAACCTATGTCAGATAGGCCGCACGTATCCAGAGCATCCCTAAAGGCATCCATCTGTGCTTGACTTCTGTTTCCTACTCCGTCATGTTCATGTGTATGAAGTACCTTGTTAAAATTGCCTAAGACTAGCCAGGGTATATTGTTAGAGCCGACAATTCCCCTAAGCGTGTCCCATGTCTTATATCTTTCGTTTACTTGGGCTTCTTCGCAAACGAATGTAACCCTTGTTTTAACATCCATCAGATCGTTAATGACCGCATCAATGTGATACCTAGAGTACCCGATAACCTCAAGCTTTATTTCTTCGTTTCAAAACATCCCTAGTCCACCACTTCTACCAGAACTACTATCGGCAAAACTCTTATTAAAACCTAATGAACCAGCCAAGTTTTCGACTCTAGTTCCCTCTATTTGGGTTTCAAGGATACAAAGTATAGAGGGGGCAAGTTGCCTCGTTAGATCACGAAGCTCTTTAACTGTCGCAGGTTTGCCAATCCCGCGACAGTTCCAGCATAGCAGACTCATTGCGCTACGCGTGACCCTGTCAGGGAGCCCGCCAAACGCGCATCAAGATTTTTGGTCACCGCTGCATTCTCCTCACTGTTCTTCTCAGTTGTGTTCGAGTTTTGCTTGGTTCTCTTTGGCTCTTGTACTGAAGAAGGGCTGGGCAGTATCTGTGGGGGTGGAAGCAGCAACGGGTTGTTGGCATTGCTGCTTGCATGCGCCAATGTCAAGGATGAGTTGGTTTCACTTGCCATACCCCCTCTCTTCCTGTTATTTTCAGCCTCACTCATGGATACATCAGAAGCGGTGTTGGCTGTATCTTCTCACTGTATTCTTCCATAGAATTTGCCTGAGAAGAGCCCCGACCACGCCCTCTTCCGGACCGGCCTCTGCCACGGCCTCCTCTTCCTCCATTGCTGTCAACTTGCCCTCCTCTTCCTCCATTACTGTCAACTCGCCCTCTTCCGGACCGGCCTCTGCCACGAGCTCTCGCGCCGGGCGATACCCCGCAAGAAAAATCAAAACAAATCGGCCCGGTGGGTCGCGACCCGGCCCACTGTGACGAGTTCTATTCGACCCCTCAACTACAGCGAGCGCCCTTCCGTTCCTCCGCCTCGGCCCATCCACCCACGTCGACGACGAGCCCTCCCCTCTCGTCCCGTCTCCTCCCCCTCGCGACGCCACCGCCGCGTCGCCGGTCGCGGGCTCGCCGCCCCAGGTAGGACGTAGCTAGTCACCCCGCCCGGCCCCGATGGCTGAGGAGCTGGTGCTCGACACGGCGATCCGGGACTGGGTCCTCATCCCGCTCTCCGTGGTCATGGTGCTCATCGGCGTGCTCCGCTACTTCGTCTCCAAGCTCATGCGCTCCCCGCCGTCGGCCTCCCCCTCCCCCGACCCCAAGACCGTCAAGGAGGGGTGCGTACTCTCGCCCTTCCCCTCCCCCTCCCTCCAATTCCGTCCCGATCTGGCCCCCGACTCGCCCGATCTGAGCGATCTGGATCGAGGAGCTAACGGGAGCTTGCCTGTTTGAGATTTCTGATAATTGCTGCCGTTGCTACTGAGCTGCTGTCTGCTGATGTGGCTGATTCGAGGGTGTTTTGGCTTTTGCAGGCAGGTCGTCATCAGGGCGAGGAACCTGAGGAACGGCGCGCAGTTCATCCCGGCCAAGGCCTTCAAGGCCCGCAAGCTTTATTACACCAACGGGGTAATTCCACTAGAAGCATCTGTGTTTGATACTAAAGCCCAATTTAGGAGACATCAGTCGAGCTTAGTCCTTTAATAGTTAGGATCCAGAATAGAGGGTGCACAGAGCAGTATTGTGATGGACGTCAGAGTTGTGGGTTGGCAGGGTTGATTTGATGATTGCTTGCTTGAATATCACGTTTTCCTTCTCAAACTGTTGGAATAATATGGTGAGTGTATACCTTTGTGACATTCTTGATTGTATTGTAGGAAGCCGGATTGCTTCATGTTCCTAAAGAGGATGCCCAGAAGGCTCAGGCGGCTATGTTTTCGGACCCAAACATGGCCATGGATATGATGAAGAAGAATCTCTCCATGATAGTTCCACAGGTTCAATGACATGGAAATTGATTTACCTGTATCGCAATTACCACTACCTTCTACTAACACACTGTGTCATCCTTCTGCAGACACTTACATTTGCATGGGTGAACTTCTTCTTTTCCGGTTTTGTTGCAGGTATGTGCTTTGCCATGTATAACATATATGAATGTGATGCTTGCTCTCTTCATATGCCTTTTTCCGTGTTCTTACATTTGTTTCGTGCTGTTGTAAGATCATCACTTTTAAATTTTCATGTACAAATGTGTGCCAAATTTCAAGTCAGTAAATCTATTGTATGCAATGTTGTTTCCATTGAAGGAACTCGTGATTTTCACTTAACATTTTGGCTTAAGTGCATGAGTAGATCCAAACATGCTTCTGTTTCACTGAACATTTTGGCTTGAGTGCACGAGTTGACCAATCTTTGTGCTTCAATGGTGAACCTGGTACGGTTCATCAGTGGCGAAATTTGCATATGATGTCACGAGGAGTATATTTTGTTGTGCTCGTTCAGCTGTGCTATTAGCTGAATTCTGTATGCCTTAGAAATTTGTAGTTCAGATGTTCACATACTCTAATTTGCAATTATTCACTTTGCACCGTCTTCTGGACTGTGATCATGGGATTTTTTGTAGTACAATTCTAGAAGAAAATGATGTTTTAAGATCTAGAAGTTTATGATAAGTTCAGAGGGGTTTATGGCTGATGTATGCGCATATGCAATTATGCATTATCCTTTTCTGTTTTCTTACGATCTTAGCCTTGTACTCACATATCTGCTGATCTCTTTTCAGCCAAAATCCCCTTTCCATTGACTCAACGATTCAGGGGAATGCTGCAAAATGGGATAGACCTGAGTACTGTTGATGTGAGCTATGTTAGCAGCCGTTCATGGTGTGTAAGAAACTGATATATTTTTATTAGGTATTTCCAGGGTCTAAATGTCTTAACGGTTTGCTGTTTTGATAGGTACTTCCTCAATTTATTTGGCTTGAGGGGTCTTTTCAGTCTCATCCTTGGTGAAGAAAATGGTTAGCACTTTATTACACTCCTACACAAACATTGCGACATTTATTGTTGTCATAACCGTTTTCCTTATGGTTTATGCAGCTACTGATGATGCCCAAAAGATGATGGCGATGGGTGGTGGAATGGGCTTTAATCCAGCAATGGTATGAGAACCTTACTCTGTATTTGAATTCATGATGTTTAACCCTGTCTTATACATATAAACGTGTATGACACTGCACTTGTAATTTCACAAATTCACACACATAAGATAATGCACATTTGTTTTATATGCACTGCCCTTATAACAAATCAGATCGAATTTGTTTCCAAAAAATTGCTGTATGCTTGAAGAAGCTTGTATGGATGATGTTTGGGTTGCATTCAGGGTTGCATGTATTGTAACGATGATTTGTATAGTGAGGATATTGGTGATCGCTGTTATTTACCGACCTTTGATCATTTGGTGGACCGTCGATTAGCTGGCCTGGCCTTTCAAATTTGATTGAAATGCTACTCCAGGTTTTTAGTAGCTTTTCAAGTGTTCTGCTGTGCATTGGCATTGCAACTGTATGCTTTCCTCTGCTTCGGCTGTGCCCCTTGATCTAGGAAACTATCAATTCACATGGTTGTGCCCTTGTGTCATTCTGTGTCCCAGAGTATCACAATCTGATGTTTTACAATGTTTGGGTTGGTTCTTATTGTTGGTTTTACCTGAGTGTTTCAGTGATTTATCTGTGTTAGACTTACTAGCACAGAAAGACCTCACCATTTTCATTTGGCCATTTTCAGAGCTTGAGCGCAGAGAAAGACAGCCTCGACATCATCCAGCATGACTGGGCTTTACCGAAGATGGAGCGTCATGCCGAAGAGGTGTTGAGGAAACTACTGAAGAATTGACCTGAACAAGCACGACTAGGCCCTGCAAGTTTTGTTTTTAGCTTGTTGACTCAGTTATACATCTGTAATTGTATTGTTTATTTACGAGCGCTACTCATTACGAAGCCGTGAGATATCTTTTTCACTCATGTAGTCTGGCAACACTAGTAGAAAAGGATGTATTCCATATCATATTTCCCTGTAACGCACGAGCTGCTTTTGGTAATCCAAGGTGACATTCTCTGAAAAAAAGAAAGATTAAGTTGTCCGCATTTGCTGTTTGGAAATTGCCTGAAAATGTAATTCGGGTCAGTCAATTTTGTGGGAGGAGGTGGAGAAGGGGCGCCATGTCAGTGAGCCGGAGGCAGGAACGCTGCGGTGAACGGCCGCGAGGCACTGGTTGCAGGAGAAGAGGAGGTTGGGAGGGAAAAAACTGGAGGAAGAAGTCCTATTGTGATCCAATGGTTAGCAAAATCGGCTCACTTTTGCCTGGAGGGAAAAAACTGGAAGAAGTCGTGTAGCGATCCAATGGTTAACAGTGTGACTTTGCTAGAGAAGCATGGTTTGCCCATCCTTAGTACCTTAGAAGTGATCTTTTAACTGAAAATCATCTTTCTATGCGAAGTGTTATACTAGCCCTGCTTAATATGGACCACCCATTTGCAATTATACCCAATATTTTCAATTTTCTATGGTGTATATGGAAGTCCAGATGTGATTGTCTTTTTGATAGGAGGCGCCTACTCCCACACCAGATACACAAGGCTGCCTTAGCTTTGGACTATCAACAAAAGTTTCTAGTGGCTTCCTTGGATGATCGCAATGTCAAAATACTAATCCTCATACCCCTGTACTATTAGGTTGCCGCCGCAAGGATGTACTCTTAAATCGGATCTTCTTGTTGATGGTGCTAAGATCTATTCTGATGCTTTTTTTTTTTTTTGAGAAACGATACTTCTTTTACGTGTTCAAAAGTTCCAGGTTTACCAAATGGCAGCGTTCTCAACTTCTTGCAGGACCACAGGAATGTCGAAGTACAGGTCCATGCCTCAGCCTGGATCACAACTTTGCCCCTTCAAGCAGAAGCGTTGGCTCTCCTTCTTACTGCCAAGATTTCGCAACTCTTGCAGGTATCTCAGCCAATTTTCCTGGCGGACAACATTTCTCTGGGGAAGGCGGTGTTGCTGCTGACTCCACTCCGTGGGCAATCAGAGCATCGCTTGCAAGTTTCCTCAGGACTACTGATGATCTCCATGCGTAGGTGTTCCACATTTCAGTGTGAGATTAATGGAATTGCTCACAATGGTGCTCACCAGGTTCTTAGTAGTGCAACTGAACCTCTCTTTAGCTGCTTTGGTTCAGCTGACCGGAAAATGCTCTGCCTGTAATTTCCATCCTCTCTACCTTGTCTCTACGATGCTCTGTACTACATGCTGTATTCTGCTACCGAGCTGAATATATTGATGCCTCGTGCGCCTTTCCTTGTTCAAAATAAAAATAAAAATGGAGGGTTTGTGCTGCTCAACCTTGCCATTATGTAAATTAAATATGGCCACGCGCATATTTACACACTTATGTAGATATTTTGTACTACTAGTTGTATTCTGTCACACTTCACAATGCTGCATTAGCCTACTTACACACATCACCAGCCAGAATGGCAGACTCTACACACACCACCAGCCAGAATGGCAGACTCACATGACGGGGTAGCTCGCGAGCAGAGCGACGCCGCACAGGCCGGTGGGCATGCCGGCGTCGCGCTGCAGACGCATGTAGCCGGCCTCGCCCCACCCCGCCCCCCACGAGTTCTTGATGATCCAGTACTTCCCGGACCCCTCGTCGACGGTGGCGTTGGTCTCGCCGTAGCCCACCACGGTGACGCCGTGGTTCACCTGCGCGGTGCAGGGCCCCGAGAAGACGCCGCCACCGTAGAGCTGCCACACGAAGCCCCCCGCGTCGACGGCCACCGACACGGGCTGCGCGGCGGCGGCCCGCAGCAGGTCCGGCTCGCTGTTGGCCGTCACGTTCCGGTACCCGGCGATGCTCACCGTGGTCTCGTTGAGCTTGGCCGTCTGGCAGACGCCGTTGACGCCCAGGTACGGGTAGCTGGCCTCGGTGGTCAGGCCGTGGTTGTCCATGACGAACTCGTAGGCCCAGCTCATGAACCCGCCGGCGCACCCCACCGCCTCGGCGTCGCAGTCCACCAGCTCCTGCTCCGACAGCGACACCAGCTTCCCCTTCTTGATGTGGTTCAGCCCCTCCATGGCCGCCACCGCCGCGAACGCCCAGCACGAGCCGCAGCCGCCCTGGTTCTTCACCGGCACCACCGCCCCTTTCTTCCTCCAGTCCACCTCCTTGGGCAGAGTACTATTATCATTGTCAGCCTCTTTTTCAGGCATTGTCACCTGCGAAAATGATCATTCCAAGACCAAAACATTTGTCAGACAAACGCAGACATATCAGTATATAGACATCACAAAATGATTTTCCAACTTTCAACGATGATCCAAGAATCAAAATTCAAAACTATTAGTATCAAACATGTACATAATTCGAGAGAAGAAAGCATTCACGCACGGGGGCAAAGTTCTCTGTTCTCGGAGCGCGCCGGCCGGTTCGCCCCGGAGCGCCTAGGCCGAGCACCTTGGCCCTGAACTCCTCGTTCGTCAGGTCGGCGAACTTGTTGTCGGTCAGCGTGTAGCTGTGGCCACCGGAGTTGAACTCCTCGATGAGCTCAACGTTCTTCCTGTACACCTCGAGCCTCCTCTGCTTCTCGCCGGCGTCGGTGTAGGCGCGGCCGTGCTTGCCCATCCACCGCTCGAACCTCCTGACCATCGGATCATCGTCGGCAACAGCGAGAGCGGCGCAGGCCGAGACGAGCAGCAGGAGAAGTAGGGAGGGCCTGGCCATTGCTGGAGCTATCGGCCTTCGAGAGAACTGAGGAGGCAGGAGTATGCATGAGCAGGCCGTTATGGGCTGTTTATAATTTTATTTGATGTTGTTTTTGGCATTTAGTCCGTTTATCATTCGATGTGTGTGATTTGGGGGTGGTCTGGTGTGCAAGCATGCACAACTGCATGTGATCTGTGCTGCAAAGAGCAACAGGTCGGGCAGTCACAAGGTTCTATAATTACAGTAGGATCTCAGAAAGAGTATCACATCATCTTCAGAGTCAGTGAACTGCATGCATAGAGTAATAGTAACTCCCAAGTTCTTCCTGAATTCACGAGACGCCCACCAGAATGTGCACCTCAACAGTTTATCACTGTCCCATATGTCAGAAGGCTAACAAGCAGGGAATAAAGGCTAGAATGCATATGTTTTTCATGTTCAGTCGAGCAACAAGAAACGGCATTAAGGAAAAATACAGCTCTTGGAACAACACACTAGTCTTTCTGAACATTGGCAACGGTTTGCTTCTGACCATACATAGCAACTTGTCGCATCTAGAGTTTGAGATCATGGCGTCGGCTCGAGGTCATGGCATCGGCGGCAAGGCTCCACGGCATTTAGCTTGACTCTGGAGGGAACCTTTGGCTCAACATATGTCCTGATAGCCGAGAGCCCCTTACGAGCTTCCGCCAAAAAGTCCAAGTGCAACAGCAAGCACTTGCCAGTACTGTTGGATGAGCAGCTGGCCCAAGGATGCCCTCGTGTCGTGTCCAATGTAAGGCATTCGAGTGACGTCGCATTCTCAATGATATGGCATGTCAGCTCAACCAAGCTCTTCGCCGAGGAGAAACCGATGATCTTCACTGTCTTAAGGTTATCATGGCGGTGTCCTGGTACCTGCCTCAAATTTGAATGGTCTCCCACGATTGACTCATGCTTCATGTCTTTCTGCAACACCTGAAGATATAACAAGCCAAGATACTTGGATTAATGGATTCACCATTGTTTAATGTGACATCTTTGCACGATTAACAGTGACTTACATTCAAGAAGAAAGTCTCCAAGGAAGGAGCAGCATCAAAGAAGGATATGAGAGAACAATAGTCATAGGCCGGCGAAAATGTCACTGTACAAAGACTGACACTCAAGTACTTGAGGTGTAAGAATTTGCTAGGCAGCATTGGTGTATCGACCATCTACACAAAAATATATTGGATTAGTTAAAATATGCATATCACAGCTGGTATAAGAATTTGCATATTTAGAGTATACCTCACTACATGAACTCAGGGAAAGATCTTCAACATTTGGCAAGCTCAATGGGAGATCAGCACGAGCATAACATACAGCACCAGGATGGGACATGCCGAGCTTCTTCAATTGCAATGCTACTCCAAATGATATCTGTACCTGGTGGGAATCATGAAAATTAAAACTGACGAGGTTTGGAGCTTCTATCCCTATCACCTGTAGAGACCTGCATTCAAACACCTTCAGGTATCTGAGCTGTTGCAGATGGAACGGAATCTTAAGGCAAGTTAGCGGACTGCATTGTGAGAGTCGCATCCATTGGAGAACAAAGCAATTGTGAAGAAGGCACCCCAGCTGCTCCTCTGTGATACAGACATAACACAAATCAATCCTTGTCATCTTTTTTAAGCCAAGTTCAACGCTGGGAGAGAAAACACAATGGGAAAGGCGTAGATGCTGCATCGAGTTTCCATTCCCATTAGCTAAAAGAGACCATGGGAAGTTGTAGTATGTTCCCGATGCTGAAGATAGCTGAACAGTGAGTTCTTCAATCCCAGGTGTAAGCTGAACAGTGAGTTCTTCAATCCCAGGTGTAAGCTGAACAGTGAGTTCTTCAATCTCAGGTGTAACAGCTGTCTGAAGCCACCTATCAACATTGCTGACCATGGCATTGGAATAACGGAAAACAATCCTGAGTGTCTTCACACCAATGCGTGAGCGGTTTTTTAAGATGTGGTCAACTTTTTTGGTGAAATTTCCTATTTCATCCTCTCCACACGGATTCATATTCATGCCCAGTGCTTCCATACTGAATGTAAGATTTGGATGGCATCTCCATAAACTTAGAAAGGCACGAGACACGCAAGCAGCTCGGGCAGCATCTCGCATTGGTAGTAGGGAATGTATATGACACCAGATGTCCTACATGTACAAGCATGTGAGGCCAAATGCTTATTTCAAATGGATAAAAGAAGAACAAGCCAGAGAAGAGCATAGAACCACGTCCAGAGAAGTACAAGCCACTGCTAAGAGAGGAGCTCTATGAAATGAGGAATTATATCTAGTCCTTATTGAGATAGCAGGGTAGCAGGGGATCTAACACTCCGTTATGACCGGCATAGGGGCTTAGCCTAGTGGGTTATGGCCCAAGTATCTTAATTAGGGGCTTAGCCCAATTATCTTATCGTATTAGGATCGTTTGCTTAGGAGTCAAGTAAACCTCTCTATATAAGGAGAGGAGATGTATCAATCTAATCAAGCAAGAAGCAATCAATATTTGCTCGGCTTCCCTTAGGGAGCCAGGAGACCTAAACCCTAGCCGCCTCCTGCTTTCGCCGCCGCTGCTCCCGTCACAAGGACGGCGCCACGCCGCCGGCCGCCGCGCACCAGCCCTCGCCCTTCCCCCTCCTTCCCTTACAGGCTACGCCCTAGACCGGGTAGAACCCTAGTTTCTACCAATTTGGTATCCAGAGACTCGGGTTTGATCATGTCGTGTCAACACCCACGCCGCCGCTGCCCATCATCACCACCGCCCCGATGACCACTGCCGGGTCCCCAACGCCGCCGGCCCCGATCACCTCCGCGCCGCCGGCCCCCGTCACTTCCGCGCCGCCGACAACCTCCGTCTTCACGCCGGAGGAGATGACCAGCACCCTGCGGGACCTCGTGACGGCCGTCCAGGGCATCTCCCTGTACTTGGCCGGCCCGCACACCACCCCGCCGGTTGCGCCCCCCGCCTACAGCCACCCGGCGACGCAGTGGCCGATCCAGAACGCGTCGGGCGCGAGCGGGATGCCCCTGCTGCCGTTCCAGGCGGGCTACACCGGCGGGCCCCCGCCGCCGCTGCACCTGCCCTGGTACTCGGTACCCGCGGCGATCGCCGGGGCCCATCCGTCGCTCCAGCCGCCGCCCGCCCCAGCGCCGTCCTGGCCGCAGTGGCCCGCGCCCGTTCTCGCGGCGCCGCCCACCCCTCCCGCGCCTGCCCCAGCCGCGCCAACCGCGCCGGTCCAGCTCCCACCGCCGCCGCCCAGCTCCGGACTGGGCCAGTCCACACCGGGAGGACTTCCGATCCAGCAGGTCTGGTTTCCACCGTCACCGTCCCCGATCCCGGCCTGGCTAACCGGGACGTCACCACCGCCGGTGTACACAGAGGTCGGGGATCCACCGGTACCCACGCTGCAGTCTGGGGCCTCGTCCGGCTCCGCGAGGGCCTACGACGGCCTCCCCACCGTTGACCGGGCGCCGTCATCATCACTGCTCCGCACCGCCGAGCCGGTCGGCCATGGCGCGCTGACCCAGACGCCGCCACGGTTAGCCAAGATCGATTTCGCCACTTATGACGGCATGGAGGACCCACCTAACTGGCTCAACCAGTGTGAGCAGTTTTTCCGTGGCCAGCACGCTCGTGTCGGAGCACACTTGGCTGGCATCCTACCACCTCCGCGGTGTAGCCCAGACCTGGTACTACGCCCTCGAGCAGGACGAGGGCAGCATGCCCCCTTGGGAGCGCTTCCGCGAGCTCTGCCTCCTTCGCTTTGGGCCTCCGGTTCGCGGGAGCCGCCTGGCGAAGCTCGGCCGCCTTCCCTTCACCTCCACGGTGCAGGACTTCGCCGACCGTTTCCAGGCCCTGGCATGCCATGCGTCGGGCATGATGGTGCAACAGCAGGCCGACCTCTTTGTGGGTGGACTTCCGGATCACATCCGCGTGGACGTGGAGCTTCTGGGACCCCAGGATATCCAGACAGCCATGTACTACGCCCGCGTGTTCGAGCGCCGCGCGGTGGCCGTCCAGCAAGAGTCGCCGTCCCGGGCCACTGGGTCGCTACCCTGGCCAGATCCTGCTCAGGGTCGGCCTGCTTAGGCTTCCGCGGCACCCCTCGCCACGATCGCGGCTCGCCCGTTCCGCCGGCTCACCACGGCCGAGCTACTCGAGCGTCGCCGCCAAGGGTTGTGCTTCAACTGCGACGAGCCCTACACACCCGGCCACGCCTGCCCGCGACTCTTCTACCTGGAGGTTGCAGACTACATTCCGGAGGACGCCATCGCCGCCAACCTTGTCACCCCGGCTGTCGTGAAGGTGTTTGACGCTGGTTGATCACCTCGAGGAGTTCAGCAAGCGCTTCCCCACCTTACAACTCGAGGACGAGCTGTTTGTGCAGGCGGGGAGAAGTGTTATGACCGGCATAGGGGCTTAGCCCAGTGGGTTATGGCCCAAGTATCTTAATTAGGGGCTTAGCCCAATTATCTTATCGTATTAGGATCGTTTGCTTAGGAGTCAAGTAAACCTCTCTATATAAGGAGAGGAGATGTATCAATCTAATCAAGCAAGAAGCAATCAATATTTGCTCGGCTTCCCTTAAGGAGCCGGGAGACCTAAACCCTAGCCACCTCCTGCTTTCGCCGCCGCTGCTCCTATCGCAAGGACGGCACCACGCCGCCGGCCGCCGCGCACCAGTTCTCGCCCTTCCCCTTCCTTCCCTTACAGGCTACGCCCTAGACCGGGTAGAACCCTAGTTTCTACCAATTTGGTATCCAGAGACTCGGGTTCGATCATGTCGTCATTAACACCCACGCCGCCGCTGCCCATCATCACCACCGCCCGAATGACCACTGCCGGGTCCCCAACGCCGGCGGCCCCGTCACTTCCGCGCCGCCGACAACCTCCGTCTTCACGCCGGAGGAGATGACCAGCACCCTGCGGGACCTCGTGACGGCCGTCCAGGGCATCTCCTTGTACTTGGCCGGCCCGCACACCACCCCGCTGGCTGCGCCCCCCGCCTACAGCCACCCGGCGACGCACTGGCCGATCCAGAACGCGTCGAGCCCGAGCGGGATGCCCCTGCTGCCGTTCCAGGCGGGCTACACCGGCAGGCCCCCGCCGCTGCTGCACCTGCCCTGGTACTCGATACCCGCGGCGATCGCCGGGGCCCATCCGTCGCTCGAGCCGCCGCCCGCCCCAGCGCCGTCCTGGCCGCAGTGGCCCGCGCCCGTTCTCGCGGCGCCACCTGCGCCTCCCGCGCCCGCCCCAGCGCCGCAGTGGCCCCAGTCGCGCCAATCGCGCCGCCCGCACCGGTCCAGCTCCCACCGCTGCCGCCCAGCTCCGGACTAGGCCAGTCCACACCGGGAGGACTTCCGATCCAGCAGGTCCGATTTCCGCCGTCACCGTCCCCGATCCCGGCCTGGCTAATCGGGACGTTGCCACCGCCGGTGTACACAGAGGCCGGGGATCCACCGGTACCCACGCTGCAGTCTGGGGCCTCGTCCAGCTCCACGAGGGCCTACGACGGCCTCCCCACCGTTGACCGGGCGCCGTCATCATCACTGCTCCGCACCGCCGAGCCGGTCGGCCATGGCGCGACGTCCCAGACGCCGCCACGGTTCGCCAAGATCGATCTCACCACTTATGACGGCACAGAGGACCCGCTTAACTGGCTCAACCAGTGTGAGCAGTTTTTCCGTGGCCAGCGCACGCTCGCGTCGGAGCGCACTTGGCTGGCATCCTACCACCTCTGCGGTGCAGCCCAGACCTAGTACTACGCCCTCGAGCAGGACGAGGGCAGCATGCCCCCTTGGGAGCGCTTCCGCAAGCTCTGCCTCCTTCGCTTTGGGCCTCCGGTTCGCGGGAGCCGCCTGGCGGAGCTCGGCCGCTTTCCCTCACCTCCACGGTGTAGGACTTCGCCAACCGTTTCCAGGCCCTGGCATGCCATGCGTCGGGCATGACGGCGCAGCAGCGGGCCGACCTCTTTGTCGGTGGACTTCCGGATCACATCCGCGTGGACGTGGAGCTTCGGGGACCCCAAGATATCCGGACGGCCATGTACTACGCCCGCTCGTTTGAGCGCCGCGCGGTGGCCGTCCAGCAGGAGTCGCCGTCCCGGGCCACTGGGTCGCTACCCTGGCCAGATCCCGCTCAGGGTCGGCCTGCTCAGGCTTCCGCGGCACCCCTCGCCGTGACCGCGGCGCGCCCGTTCTGCCGGCTAACCTCGGCCGAGCTACTCGAGCGTCGCCGCCAAGGGTTGTGCTTCAACTGCGACGGACCGTACACACCCGGCCACGCCTGCCCGCGACTCTTCTACCTGGAGGTTGCAGACTACATTTCGGAGGACGCCGTCGCCGCCGACCTTGCCGCCCCCGGCTGTCGCGAAGGTGTTTGACGCTGGTTGATCACCTCAAGGAGTTCAGCAAGCGCTTCCCCACCTTACAGCTCGAGGACGAGCTGTTTGTGCAGGCGGGGAGAAGTGTTATGACCGGCATAGGGGCTTAGCCCAGTGGGTTATGGCCCAAGTATCTTAATTAGGGGCTTAGCCCAATTATCTTATCGTATTAGGATCGTTTGCTTAGGAGTCAAGTAAACCTCTCTATATAAGGAGAGGAGATGTATCAATCTAATCAAGCAAGAAGCAATCAATATTTGCTCGGCTTCCCTTAGGGAGCCGGGAGACCTAAACCCTAGCCGCCTCCTGTTTTCGCCGCCGCTGCTCCCGTCGCAAGGACGGCGCCACGCCGCCGGCCGCCGCGCACCAGCCCTCGCCCTTCCCCTTCCTTCCCTTACAGGCTACGCCCTAGACCGGGTAGAACCCTAGTTTCTACCACACTCACAACAGGCATTCTTCTTCGGACAGCTAGAACAAAGCAAAGCTACTGATGCAGTAGGACTGTAGCAGGTTGCAGCACTAAAGAAATGTATGTTTATACTGTACTTCTTATTTAGCTAGCACAGGTCAACCAACTGGTGAACAAACATGCAGTATAAGTTATTTCCATTATCAGCATCTCACAACGTACCTCCAGAAGTTGTGGCCTGGAGTATTCTGTTCTTTCGCCCTCCCTTTCAACCCATGAACTAATCGATCCATCTGCAACACATAATGCATGATTATCATCAAACCAACATTAGAGAAGGAAATATCAAGGCATTGTTTGGTTACATGAGAAAAAAATACACCCCGGGATTGGGTTGATCCACTGCCATCACCCAATCCCCACAGTGATCAATCCCTTCCAACTACCTTAAACCCCGCCACCTCAAATTTTGTTTGGATAGTGTAAGAGGAACAGGTTCAACAAGTCTATTCTCGTTTGCCTTAGGCTAATTACACTTGTGTGGGTAAATGACATATTTGGCGTGGAAACATGATGCACCTTGGCAAACCAAGACTACCTTGACAATGAAAACTTTAAGTACACTCTCGTTTTTTGCATCCAAACTGATTCTCCATGGTCCATACAGATCAAACAGAAATTGAGAAAGAGTAAAATAATTGCTAAAAAAATACACACTGATATCTGGCAGAACAAAAATGAAGCCTAACAAGACTATATGAGCATAGTAACTTCATCTGCTGGAATGGAAGTCATAAAGCATTTCTACACACCCTCAACTGGTCGAATAGGAAGCACCATGTGGCAGCGCTGGTCTCTTCTTTCACCCTCAGCTCATCTGAATAAGTAAAGTTACTACGAATTAATAAGGTTGGCAAAAGCAAAAAGGAAACGCAGTACTGGAAGAAGAAAATTCAGACAATTTTATAATTTGATAACAGACCAGCGATATGTAATCAACAGGGGTAAATTGCCATGACTAAACTGGAAAGAGGTATGTGCTTCTTCATACTTGTTGAGGTTCAAGAATATGCCGAGCTAATAATAATGAATGTAGATTCAATTATCCAACATTAAGAAGCAGCAGATTACTCCTAGTTCAATCCACTCTTCTCATATTCATATTAACAATTGTAAAACAGGCAACTAAATCACCTTACCAAGTCAATCAAAAGCTTTTTTTTTTCTTTTCCTACTAGGAAAGTGCTAATCAAAACAACAAGATAAAAACAGCAATTAAGACAAGATAACAGCTAAGTACAAGATTACAGGAAACATGGTCCTGACAGTGACAGGACACCGCCTGAACTGGAGGACGCCGTTAAGAAGTAGTACTAACAAGAACAGCACACATATGCATGATACGTTGAAGGTTCCACCAGGATTCGCAGCTCCAGGGGAAAAAGAACGAACACAGCCCGAAACAAAATCACACGGGGCGCGTCGCACAAAAATCTGGCGTAGGAACCAGGAGGCGTAGGTGATTTGGGGAGCTTACCGGAGCCGAGGCTGGGGACGGGCGGAGAGGGGAACAATGGAGCATTTTGGTGGAAGGAAACACACGACAGGGAGGGGGGTTGGAGACCAACCGGATGAGCTGGCTCCAGCGGAGATAGAACCTTACCGGAGAGAGGGCGGCAGTCGTCGTCGCCGGCAGCGGCGGCACCGCGTCTCCCCTCCTCGGCGTCGCCGTTTCTTCTTGCGCCGCTGCCCTCGCCTCGTTTTTTTTTAATTGAGGTAGGGTTTTCTTGCGCCGTCGCCTTCAGAGGGGCAGCACAGCAGACGTTTTTTTTTTTTGCACGAGAAGGCAAAAAAAAGAAGGCATCCAACAGCAAAAAAAAATCAAATTTTTGTTGAGCAGCCCTAAAATACTACTCCCTCCGTCCGGAAATACTTGACATCAAAATGAATAAATATACTACAACACTTCGGTTGGGTCTCGATGTGTCAATCATCACCGAGACTAGTCTGGCGATGGACTTTTCAAATGCCAGTTTTGTTCATTGCGGAAGAGAAACCAATCTTGTTGCTGATTGATTAGCAAAGCACTGCTATAGTCCTAGTTTATCTGAATTTTAGGACTCCAATGCCCTGACTTTATTCTTTCACATACTGTAAATGACATGGCTATCATATGAGAAATACAGTTATTTACGTTCAAAAAATATACAACACTTCGGTTGTTGTCGCAAAACAAAAACGGCACCTAGACGCACACCCACGGCCTTTTCAAACCCACCTAGCCGTGCACCAGTGCCGCCGCCTACAGATCCACGACTATCACACCCTTCCAACACTGATCTCGCGGCACCCGACTCACCGACCACTGGACCGACTAATCGCGCCGCCGTTGCCCCTTTCTGCTGAAATTCGACGCGCCCCTGCACCCGGAATCTGATGTCTGCGATGCCACAGTCACACCTGCATCGCCTCTCTTCCTCGCCGAGGCCTTCTTCCCTAGCACCATCACCTCTTCGGCATGCCACCGAAGGGCAAGGGCAAGGGCGGATTCAAGGGGGTTTGGCCCCGGTCGTCCGACAACTATGGCGTCGAGTTCCAGAACGGCGGTTGGAGGTACTGGCTCGGCACCTACCTGACGGCCGACATGCCGCACGCGCCTACGATGTCGCGGTGTGGAAGCTCGTGCCGCCACGCTCGAGGCTAAAATTTTCAAAGATCGAGTCTCGAGCGGATGCGCAGCTTGTCGGGTCACTGGTGACAATCGAGTCTAGCCAGATCAAGCCAGCTACCCGCATTGTTGTCAAAGGTGTGGCACAACATCAGAAAGAGCGACGGGGATGCAATTGTGGTGTTTTGCGAGGGCACATTCAAAGTATGTGCATGCCGAGATGGAGTTCAATTGGAAGAGGGATCTCGAGCAGTCGAAGGGCAAGAACGACGCCGAGGCAGGCCCTTCATCATCAAGGGGAAGAAGAAGGATGCAGGACCCTCCAGCATGGTCAACGTCGATTCCGACGTCAGGGAGTGACAAGTCTGATGATATCGAATTTCGCCCAATCTCGACAATCTTAGCACAGATTGAATTCTTATGAAGGACTTTGGTGGTGATTGTGGTGAATAACTGAATGCCCAATTATTTGCTACCCAACATGCCATGATTCAGAAACTTGAAATATTGCTAAGCAATATATTGGTACCTACCTATATCAACCATAAAATTTGTCAAACCTCTCATTTGTGGGGTGATACTGATTTGTAGTGGCTGAAGAAACTGTTTTGCTATTTTAACTCTAGGTTGGTCTGTAGCAGGTTATTCGATCACATTCATATATAGCAAGTTTTTAGCGTAGGAATATATTTTTCAATAGTCTAAGAATATATAATCAGGTTTTAGTTGTTCTCACTCCCTGTTATCCTCAAGTAAAGACATTAATGTGCATTTAAGAAATAATGACAACTTGACTAAGTACCCCATGATTTCATGTAATTTAATTCAGAATGCAGAGGAGCCTTGCTGTTGTTGTTGACAAAGTTAGAGAATCTACAACCACGAACACCAAATCCGGCCCTGAAACGTCCGCAGAAGTGACAGAACGCGCCCGTGGGTAGTGACTGGTCACACCTCATAATTTCTCCTATGCATCCGAATACCTCATATTTCATCGCTTATATCCATACAAAGAATGCAAAAGAAATCCTATGTACTACGCAACCACACTAGCCTAAAGTACTCTTCGTTGTCGCAGATGTCCATGATCTCCGTCCCGGGCGCCGGGTAGATGGGCACGTAAGAGGGCTCAGGCTCCCCCTCATCCATATAGGCCAGCATCTCGTCGATGCCCACTTCCTGCTCTGCCTGGAGGATACTGTTGGGGAATTGCATGGAAAACAAAAAAAATTACGCACACGCAAGATCTATCCATGGTGGTGCATAGCTACGAGAGGGGGAGAGCATCTACATACCCTTGTATATCGCTAAGCGGAAGCATTTATCAATGCGGTTGATGTAGTCGTTCACCTTCACGATCCGTCCCGATCAAGTACCGAACATACGGCACCTCCGCGTTCAGCACACGTTCAACTCGATGACGTCCTTGCCTTCTCGATCCAGCAAGAAAGGCGAAGTGGTAGATGAGTTCCGGCAGCACGACGGCATGGTGACGGTGGTGGTGAAAACTATTTCCGGGAGAAGGCAAGAGGGGCCGGCGTCCAAGAGGTGGGGCGCGCTAGCCCCATGTGGGCTGGTGTGCTCTCCCTCGTTGGCCCGAACCCCTTCCGGTGATCCGATAAATATCCGGTATCCGGTGCATTCCAAAACTCTTTTGGAGACCAAATATTGTCATCTTATATATCAATCTTTACCTCTGGAGCTCCTCGTCATGCCCGTGATCTCATCCATGATTCCGAACAATATTCGATCACCAACATACATAACACATATAATACTATATCGTCAACGAACGTTAAGCGTGCGGTTTTGGGGAACGCAGTAATTTCAAAAAAAATCCTACGCACACGCAAAATCATGGTGATGCACAGCAACGAGAGGGGAGAGTATCGTCTACGTACCCTCGTAGACCGTAAGCGGGAGCGTTATGACAACGCGGTTGATGTAGTCGTACGTCTTCACGATCGACCAATCTAGCACCGAAGGTACGGCACCTCCGTGATCTGCACACGGCTCGGTGACGTCCCGCGAACTCACGATCCAGTAGAGCTTCGAGGGATAGCTTCGTCAGCACGACGGCGTGATGACGGTGATGATGTTGCTACCAGAACAGGGCTTCGCCTAAGCACCGCTACGATATTGCCGAGGTGGATTATGGTGGAGGGGGGCACCGCACATGGCTAAAGATCAATGATCAACTTGTGTGTCTATGGGGTGCCCCCCTCCCCCGTGTATAAAGGAGTGGAGGAGGGGGAGGGCCGGCCCTCCTATGGCGTGCCCCATGGGGAGTCCTACTCCCACCGGGAGTAGAATCCCCCCTTTCCATGTAGTAGGAGTGGGAGAAGGAAGGAGGAAAGAGGAAGAAGGAAAGGGGGCGCCGCCCCCCCTTCCTAGTCCAATTCGGACCAGAGGGGGAGGGGCACGCGGCCTTCCTGGCAGCCCCTCCTCTCTTTCCACTAAGGCCCATAAGGCCCATTAAACTCCCTGGGGGGTTCCGATAACCCCCCGGTACTCCGGTATATGCCTGAACTTCACTCGAAACCCTTCCGATGTCCAAACATAGTCGTCCAATATATCGATCTTTATGTCTCGACCATTTCAAGACTCCTCGTCATGTCCGTGATAAAATCCGGGACTCCGAACTACCTTCGGTACATCAAAACACATAAACTCATAATAACGATCGTCACCAAACGTTAAGCGTGTGGACCCTACGGGTTTGAGAACTATGTAGACATGACTGAGACATGCCTCCGGTCAATAACCAATAGCGGAACCTGGATGCTCATATTGGTTCCTACATATTATACGAAGATCTTTATCGGTCAAACCGCATAACGCTATACGTTGTTCCCTTTGTCATCGGTATGTTACTTGCCCGAGATTCGATCGTCGGTATCTCAATACCTAGTTCAATCTCGTTACCGGCAAGTCTCTTTACTCGTTCTGTAATGCTACATCCCATAACTAACTCATTAGCTACATTGCTTGCAAGGCTTATAGTGATGTGCATTACCGAGAGGGCCCAGAGATACCTCTCCGACAATCGGAGTGACAAATCATATTCTTGATCCATGCCAACTCAACAAACACCAGCGGAGACACCTGTAGAGCACCTTTATAATCACCCGGTTACATTGTGACGTTTGGTAGCACACAAAGTGTTCCTCCG